ATATTTATCAAGTGACGAGTATATCTCAGAAATTCAATAAATTATGTGAGCGTGGAGTGACGTTAATGATCCACATTCAAATGGTAAAAACGTATTGCTTAGAGTTATTGTTATTTATGATTATTGTTCGCATTACCGTTCGCTGTTCTCTGAAAGAAAGCATCTGAATCACGAGGAAATGCATCATGATGAATAGAGAATGATGCCTGAGTTTTGAAAGCAGCGCGCATGCTGAGCTTGGGGGAGGGTTGCTTTTAGATAGCGAAATACCAATGAGGAGCCCACTGTGGGGTCAGAGACCACGCTCACGTGCTTGGTGAACTCGCTGCTTGTGGGTGACCGATGTTGTGAATAAAAGTGAAGCTGCTAACCGCTGAATGTATTGCTTTCCATTCTTGTTCTCTCCTTCTTGCAGTTTCCCATACAGGGCCATAATGTTCTTTGTAGAACTGAAGCAAAACGTTATTATTCACCGATCTTTTTTTCCAACAATCTGGTGTGTTCCCTCCCGGATGGGCTTGTAACCAACTGCGCCAGCCGGATATAAGACCCGGACATGGACCAGTTTTTGAAACGGACCTTATCGCCCACAGGTGCGATCACAAGGACATTTGTCCGCAGACTTCTACTCCATATTTGTTATTGGTTAGTACTTTTCTGTGCCATCTAAGGATAAACATAGTAAACTGCGTAATACAAGGGAACGATGAACCAGCCCGAATCTCAGAGACTGCTTACTTTCACGAGTACATTCCTTACACCGGTTTTGTCATTATTTTTCTCACAATTTAATGGCATTAACAGAGATGACACGAAGAAATCAGTGAGCTAGATGTGGCAGAATATCGCTTTGTTGGAATAAAACGAGCAAGTCCGGAAAACGATCAGGGAGGCTTCCAGGTCCTCTCTCCATGTTTTTTTTTGTTTTTTTCCTCTCTGGAGAGTCATTAGGCCACTTTCAACTTTCTATTAGGTTGATCAAAAAGTTTTGATAGGGTTGAGATTTTTTCTGTTTTATTTTACAACTCAGCAAACAATGCAAGCTAATCAACAATATAATAACCATCGTTAGTCATAAACAGCCCCAACAGCGAGCAGCCAGCAATTCCCTTCTCAGACTGGGGAGAATGGGAGTCAAAGAAGTCAGCGACCACTTGTTCAAGTGGTCATTGTTGACGAATCGTTTTTTTTTTTGGCTAGGAAAGCCTTGAGGGGCCGGAACAAGTGGCAATCTGAGGAGCAATATCAGGTGAATAGGGTGGATGTGGAACCGTGGCTCCAGCCCTAAGGCTCCTCCTATTTTGGCACGGGTCTTCTTTTACCTTATGTAGAGGCCCATACCGTTGTCATGGAGGAGGTGACAAAAGTTCGTCTAGGTCGTTTTTCCTCGGAAGGGCTTCCGCAGTTCGCAGGCTGATAGAGAGCGGCGACGGTGTGGCCTGCTTGAGCAGTTAAGTTATAGATGCATTCCTTTTTGAACTCCCAGAAGCAAGCAAAAGAGTAAACTTCTTGGGGGGGGGGGGGAGGGGCGGTGGAGGTCGCTATCTATTGCTTGCGTCGGCAGCTGCTCTCGCTCGCGGGAGCCAGACGGCTTGTTAGCGTCGTAGAGGATCCAGCTTTCATCTCCAGTAACTGGGTCCTTCAGAAACTCCTTGCGATGTGGGCGGAGAAGGAGAGACTGACAAATGGATACCCGGGTGTAGCTCATGCTATCGGTCAAGACATGAGGTATCCATCGATTCCGCACTTTTCTGTAACCAGCGAGGAGACCATGAAAGAGCGACCGACGACTCGTTGATTGGGGCACGATCAAGTCCGTTTTCGCAAGACTGCGGTGTTAACTTCCGGATCCTCCTTGACGGCGTCGAGAATGACGGAGTCGTCGACGGCAAGGGAGCGTCCCGACCGAGGCTTACCTTCGAAGTCCGTGTCGTTCCTTCTTGAAGGCGAGCAGAAGGAACCAACGATGGACCGTAGCCGATGGATAGTGGCTGTCCTCCTTCCCATACGCTGTTGATGTTGTGAACGGTTGCCGTCGCTCCGTTGCCGCGGCGACACTCGTAGACGATGATGTATCAAACATCGTCCCGAGTGGATTGACATCGGTGATTTAAGCGCTAAAAGAGAAGCGTGGCCTTCGATGTGCCCAGTCACGAGAAGGGTTATGAAAAAATGATTCTACCAGCTACCAACATGGTAGATCATGGGATCGATCAAGAATCGAAAGTTCTGGAACTTCAAAAAACCCTCAAAATCAAAAACTTTTTGACACCATAAATAATTGAGCACTAATATCCACAATATACGATTGTAGGGTTTCTCTTCAAGCGAGGTGATTTTAGAGTTAGTGATGAAATTTAGCGGCATTTTGGAATGCTAACCTTTTGCATCTGCAATTGCTTGTCATCACAGAACAGGGCCTGCCAAATAGTTGTAGGTGCATCAGGAAAAACGTCAGGACCTATAAAAGTTCTGCCATAGTCAGGCTTCTGCAGTCTACGACTGCCTATTCGGATACACAATGATAATGTCTTAATCTGGTAGGCGGTGTCAAATTCCACTAAGGCCTTTCCTACCATGGCTTGCTCTCTCTTACCTGAGTCCGGACACTGGTAGAAAATGCATCTTGACGCCGCCCACCGGAATGCGATATGAACTATGTGAATGTCACCTACCAGAGATGGGTGTGGTACCCTCCGTAATTGGTACAGACGTATATTCAAAAACGTTGGAGGTTTCGAGTAGATTTGTTTCATCAAAGAATATCATCTAAAGGTGCGCGTATAAAGCCCAACTGAGGCGTCACAGCTGAATCACATGCGACAGAACTTCCATAGAAGAATAGCCATTACCGTTCTTTTCGTGTTAGTTTAACGCCGTGTCAATGCCAGTACAGCTGGTGATCAGCACTCCGGCAAGAAACGCCACAAAACCGCATGTGCACGTTGAAAGCCGTATAAGGCAGTTGGTAAAATAAACTATAAAAGCAAAGAATAAGCTAAGCAAATGGCCTTTCCGAAAATGACGCCAACCTTCTGATAAAAGCGAGCCTAGCAGGGAGTCAATCGTATGCTGGCTTCGCTTTGCAAGGTACAGTAATGATGGCAAATAAGATAATAGCTTTAGACTGTTTTTGTTTGAATAACTGCTGTTTTTTTTACGCGCCGCACGTGCGCGATACAAATTGTATCAACAAGAATGTCTGAGTTGTGGGCAAAAAGTCGGAAGCCACGGGCCGGGACTCGAACCCGCATCTTCTGCTTACCGGGCAGTTGCGTTACCACTTACGCTACCGGGGCCACTTTTGACCTCTCAGCTCAATGGCTATTTGTGCCATTGCCTTCGAGCACTCACACGTTCAACGTGATGAGCCGGTTAGCCGATTATTGCAGTGCAACGCCGCAAGCTGAAGGCTTACAAGTTTTAGACTGTTTTTGTTCTAATGATAACTGCTGTTTTTTTACGCCGCAGTGCGCGATACGAAAGTTATCACAAGAATGCTGAGTTGTGGGCAAAAGTCGGACCACGGGCGGGACTCGAACCCGCATCTTCTGCTTACGCGGGACAGTTGCGTTCACACTCACCTCGGGGCCACTTTGACCTCTCAGCTGCAATGATAATAGCGTTCACGACGTAAGCAAGATCCCTCATTTCCAGGATGGAATGTTGCGAATGAGTGCAAGTTCGGTCTTTTTTTTGTTCATAGCAGGTCTCCAGGTCTCACCCCATGTCACGTCACTTTCTCCATTAAATGTAGGCTGTGCGATCACTTACTGTTCGTGGGTAACGGGGCTCAACCAAGTAACAAGGTGATTAGAAACTAATGAGTTGAAGAAAGAGCAAGGAAACAGATGGAAGATCCCGGATAGGGCTTCGTGCCAGCGCGATCTTCCATGGACATACAGTAAAATGGGGGGGATGGGGCGTGCTTTGACGAAATGTTACTTGTTGCTACCATGAGGATAACAGTTCATTTTTCGTACTTAATTTACTTTAGTTTCACCCCTCGGAATGGGAAGAGTTACAATTTTTCTTACTTAGTTTTACCTCTCGGAATGGAAAGAGTTAGTATTGGAAGCTTCCCAAAACAGGGTGCAGCATCGTTATGTGGAACACATGGGGGGGGGGTCGTACCTGGCCGCTGGGGAAGGGAGGGTCGTATTCGGTTGTAGCTGGGAGAAGGGGGTATGTGCTTTGGAGAGAAATTGACCACGTTGGGAGAAACCTTTTTCCGGTTGTTGACTTTTCGCGGTTTTTTCCCCTTTCGCATGTGCTATTCAGCTCCCCGCCCCACCCCTAGACGGAAAATTTTTGGGTGAAAAACTGGTAGGGAGCAGGGAACTTGTAGGGAAGTGATAGGTAGGTGATGGGGAAGGGGACAGGGTCGTACCGAGACCCTCCCTAGGTGGGGGGGGGTCGTACTGATGCCACCATTTAACACATCACGATGCTGTATCCTTTCCCGAAACCACTAGCCTCAGACAATGGGTGGCATACAGACGTCATCATGAGCACCTAGTGTCCTCATCACGCATTTCTGAGCCGCGAAGTGAGACACCTTTTGTGGTTGTGAACCAGACTG